GGAAACAGATTGGCAGATCGAAAACTCAAGAAAAGTTCTGGAAGAACAAAAAAAGAATGACTCGCAGCAAGTGCCTCTCCATTCATTTGCCACATTAATCGGTTCTAGCTATTCTTGTGATTTAGATTCCAGATTAAGGGGTCGCATAATTAAATTATCACAAAAAAAACGAAGCGAGCCACTCCTCGAAGCGAATCTTTCGAGTATTTTCTGGTTCTTTTCCACTTGGAATATGCACACGGACACGGACACACACGGAACGGGGCTGATCTGATCTGATGCCACACACAAATTGAACGAATCGCATAGGTGTGATAGCTGATAGCGAAAGGGGGTTTACTTTTATCAATAGACACGCGTTCCACCGCAGACGGGAGGGTCGGTTGTCTAAACCCTCGAATGAAAAGTCAAAGTCTGAACGGCAGTATGGTTCCAGAATCAGCGGCGTGTGGAGGGGTCGCTTGAGTGGATCCGCTACGAAAGTTCTGCGGAGAAAGATCTCCGCTGAAGGATCTGGTTACGCGGTGGGTGAGTCTCTGTCTTTGTCTCTGTCTTTGTTATTCTGTTGTCCCTGATGCTCAGGCATTACAATCCCCAGGGAATGAATATTGTATTACTGCTTTTTCCACCCGGTTACATTGACATGATCTTCAGCGGCCATGACACAGAGCCACCCGTGGCTTGGCCTTTTCTTTCGGCATCAATTACCCGAATGCCAGTACCAGTACCACTCTGCCCCACAAATTCGACTCACAAATTATAGACATTTCTTCCTCGTCCCTCGTCACTCCTCCCCTTGCTCCCCTCCTCCAAAAAAGCCACCAAAAACGCAACTGTGTCAAATGGCAAGCTCCAGAGACCAGGCCAGGCCAGGCCAGAGCAGGCCAGAGCAGACCAGAGACCCCGCGCTGTGATATTGTTTCAACAACCTTAAACCTTAATTATTATATTTGACAGCTGCTGGAGCTGTGGCTATATTTCTCTCTTGAAATATAACCCCGGGGCCCTCCAGTGCTCAATCTGTAGCAAGCAAATCCCCAGTGAAAACACTATAATGAGCGTTGGAAAAGCGTCTTTCCCAAAAAACGTAAAAACGAAAAAAACGAAAAAAGCGACGAAGAAACGTATTTTAATTTAGAGTCAAGCGCGAGGCCGTCAAGCATGACAGTCGACAATCAAAAAGAAGATGACAAAAGTCGGGGATGGGCGACGCGATGCGATGCGATGCGATCTCGGAGCATAGCTCAAGGGAGCTCTGACAGCCTTGGGAAAATTCAGAGGAAATCTCCATGGAGAGATCTCTGACAGCAGCACCTGAAAAGTGGCCACATTTCTTTCGGGCTTCGGGCTGAGCGTTTGCTTTGTTGGTTGCTAAATTCTCCTAATAGTCTTATCTTTCGAGTGCGAAATGCGAATGCAAATGGGGCTAAAGAAATGGAACTGCCATGAGAACTTTTTGTCAGGCGGTGACTTAATCTCTGGCATCACCTGGCATCTGGTGGCAGCTGGTGGCATGCCACACCACATCCGATGATGGTCTTGTGCAACACATCATCGCAGCGGGGCTGAATGGCTGAATGGAACATGGAACACACAATTTGGCAAGGTGTCGGCTCAACGAAACGAAGAGAAACTTTTACCATTTTCCACTTAAATTTCCTCCTTCTTTTTTATGGCTTTTGGAAGAGAACACCGCGATTGCGGACTGCTGACTGTGGATTGCGGGAAAGTTTTCTGGCTGCCTGCCTGCCTGCCAGAGAGCCACAGAGAGATGAGCTGAGATGAGATGAGACGAGAAGAGAATCTGGGGGCCATGTGGCGGATAGGATTAAAGTGGATTCAGCACATCCATCATCAGTCAATCAATCAGCGATCAGCGTTCAGCGATCAGCGAACAGCGAACAGTCCAAAGAATGTCGTTCAACCCGCCTGCGGACACCCTTGAGAATAGCGCTACAAATTGATACATTAGGCTCGTACTCGTACTCGCACCCGTACCCGTACTCGTACCTGATTTTGCCCGCTTTAAGACAAGGCCCAAACCGCTGCTCAAAATGGCAAAGTTGATCTCCAACGATTAGCCCCAAAAGGCAATCCCATGGATACCCTACATCCATGTACATATCTGCCTGTATCTGCTATGTGCGAGTATGTACGAGTATCTCTGAATTGAAATTGTTTTCAATTGCCAACTAAAGTCCGTTGCCACTTGCGATGGCAGACATTAAAAGTTTTCCACTTAGGGGACCATCCATGATAAACCCCCTCGATAACGGGCGTCCAGTTTTCTTCATACGTAATTTGTTTTATGCTTGGAAATTAAATTAACTTGTTTTTTCAGTCACAGCCACAGCCACAGCCCCGCGATCGAGTGCCGCGATTGAGGCTCTGGCTGTCTGCTGGCTGTTGGCCATAATGTCTAATAGATTTCATTCGCTTTTAGCCCGGTCCAACTGTCATAATGACACTGTTATGTGTGGGCCATTATGTATATATAAAATTTCACTTTTTACAGCCAAAAAGGAGGCTCTCTTTTGCTGATTTTCTGCGACAGTTTTGCAATGGTCCCCCCTCACCCTCCCCGAAAAGAGCACGAGTCCCTCATTAAGAGAAATCTTTATTGGTTGTTCAATCCTCGAGGATTTATATAATTATTTTACATATGTATATGCATGCACGATATTTGAAACATTTGGGACATTAGAAACAGTTGTCGATCGATGGCAGCGAGCCAGTGCACCCTGGCCAAGCGGACCAGCCCTGCTTCTCCAGGATCTTCTTGGCACAGAGCACGGAGTGGGTAATGTCATCTTCCAAGAAGGCCTCACACTTCACCTTGCACTCGACCTCCCTGGCAGCCTGATCCTTCGAATAGCACCAATACTCATTGCTGATCTGGAAGATCCCGTAATTCCGGAAGCCCTTATCATTCGTGGGGCTCACCGCGTCGGTGTGGAAGTTGCTCTGGTTGTCGGCGATGCAGGCCCAGCGGGCCAGCTGATCCCGGGGAACACCATGGTTGGCCATCTCTCGGGCCAAGGAGCAGCGATCCATGGTGCGGGTGGCCAGGATGCCAGGAGCAAGGCAGGCCACAATCAGGGCACAGATCAGTAGCGAAGCTCTCATTTTAGAAACGTTTATTGTTCGACTTGTAAACTGATTGACTGACGATCCAAGTCAGGGAGTATTTATACTCAACGTGGATGAAAAGAACAAAGAAGATTATATATGGGCATATATTTTCTTGGAATCACTGGACAAATATGTGCAGTCCCTATGATATCTAATCATCGAGGGGGATAAGAAATCAACAAATGCACATCGCGATGCACACCATAAGAACTATTTACATGCCTTTGTTATTGTAATTTTCTCAGAAAAATGTGTAAAGACATTACAGAAATATGTGTATTGGATAAATCCTAAGTATATGTCGGAGATTGCAAAATGTAGGGTAAGAAAACGTCTAGCAAGAAACTGAAACAAATAGAATAATGTCCGTTCCGTTACTTCCATGCTTTACACGACAAGTTCCGTATTTGCTGGGAGCGCCGCACAGTGGCACCACAGCCGAAGAAAAGGTGGCAACAGTTACCATTGAATACACGCATCTGGTAGAGAATTTGTAGTCTAGGAGATGCGAGAGCATTCACAGTTGAACGTTTTCTCGGCGAGCAGCTGCTCACTCAATTTGGATCCACAAACTGCATCTTTAAGGTAGAATCGAAAGTAGATTATACTATATGGTATTTATATTTTTAGTCTCTCTTATTAGGTGTACTCATTGTTATCAATATACAGCAAAGAAACCTGGTCTGTTGCAAAACCCCTAATTTTTGGGCTTTTTTCCAACCTTGATTTAACTTTTAGAAAAACTACCCCGATGTTTCCCTCGGACGAATATATTATTATACCCAAAACATAAAAAGAGTAAAGGGGTATTTATTTATTTTGTAGTGAAAGTGAACGTTCCCCAGAAGGAAACATTTCGGACCTCAACAAGCTGAAAAGCCCGCAGGTCCCACTGTGCGACGCTTCAGCCGGCGCTCAGTGTACCGCAGCATTGTTGTTTTTGCCGAGAGAAGCCTTGAAGAAGGACAGAGGGACAGAAGGAATGACTAAGCGAGCACTGGCTAGAGATCGACTGATAATCACGAGATACGATAGTGGCTGTGACTCAATTCGCACTCGAGGTGAGAGACGAGGTACAATCAGAAAAGCAATAGCTTTGTAGCCAAAAAGACTTTCAGTTTCTGCTTTTCCGGCAACAACAGATTTGCCATGGTGTTTCCTCCAGAAGACAAGAAAAGAGCACAAGTCCCACTTGAAGAGAGTTCTTTATTACATTGTGAGAGGATTTACAAAAAGGGTTTATAATATATGTATGTATATTAGTAAGCTGGGAAGCAGTCGTCGATTGAGGGCAGATTGCCACTGCAGTAGTGCCACACGGCCCAGGCGCCCCATCCCTGCATGGCGAGCACCTTTTGGGCGCATCTCACGGATTCGGTGATGGTGTTATCGAGGAGGGCATTGCAGCTCACGTCGCACTGGTTGTAGGAGAAGCGACCGCTGGGGGGAGCGCACCAGTAGTAGTCGTTGATCTGGAAGATTCCGTAGTCCTGGGAGCCGTCCGAGTTGGGTGGCCCCACCACATCGGTGCGGTAGGAGCTCTCGTGGTCGGCGATGCAGGCCCACCGGGCCAGCTGATCCTTTGGAACGCCCAACCTGAACATCTCTTGGGCCAAGAGGCAGCGATCCATGGTGCGGGCCAGGATGGCAGGTGCGAGTCCGGCCAGAGCCAGGAAACAGATCACTAGAAAAGTTTTCATTGTAGGAATGGTTGTGGTTGCTTGTTTAAACAGAGGATTGGTTCTACAGTCGGGGAGTATTTATACGCAGAAGAAATAATAACATTGTGTGCCCTTTCCAGGACGTATCGCAACCTATGCGAAAAGCAATCACTGGAACAGATATACTGGTGTGTAGAAATCAGGTGATTCACGATATCAAGAGTCTGTGGTAATTCCTTTATTGGACTACGAGCAAAATATGAAAAGATTACGATTCTCAGAAGCAATTATTGATTGATGGCAGGGACCCGCTGCAGTACTTCCAGGTGGACCAGGCGGACCATCCCTGCTGGGAGAGCACCTTCTGGGCACATCTCACGGACTTGGTGATGTCATCGGTCAACAGGGAGTTGCAGCTGAGGCCGCACTCGTTGTAGGAGAAGCGACCGCTGGGAGGAGCGCACCAGTAGTAGTTGTTGATCTGGAAGATCCCGTAGTCGTTGGAGCCATCGGAATTGGCAGGACCCACCACCCAGGTGCGGTAGTCGCTCTCGTGCTGGGCAATGCAGGCCCAGCGGGCCAGCTGATCCCGTGGCACCCCCAAATTGGACATCTCCCTGGCCAGGGTGCAGCGGTCCATGGTGCGTGCCGCATGGGCGGCAGATGCAAGGCAGGCCACCACCAAGGCGCCGATCACTAGAAAAGTTCTCATTCTGATCAAAAGTGAAGTGAAACCTGCCCTTGCGGGGGAGTATTTATAGCCAGGGGACTAGAACACCTACTGCTCTGCAGTTGAGTCAATATCTAAGCAAGTAATTCATTCGGCGAGTGTTTGCCAGTAATTACAAGTTCAAATATTGGCATTCTCCGGGGAGAAAGCACGTTGTTCTTAGAGCTCTGTTGTTAGAGCTAATGTTGTAATATGAGCCCATCTCTATCATTTTCTAGGGTAAATCTCCCTCTGAAATGGTGTCGTAGGCCCCCCTGTCTTATCACTTCGTTCGTGCAGATATTCTATTCGCCCCCTCAATCAATTCTACAAATCATAAAATACAAATTATACAAAAAATTCAATCTTGAAAGTGCGGAAGCACTTGGGGCATTCGCTCGATAAGGCAGTCGGCGCGTTCCACTCGATCTACAGGTAGCCCCAATCTTAGGTACTGTGCGTACTGTGGGGGGCCTTGCCTGGGCTGGGCTGGACTGGACTGGGCTGGGCTGGGCCTTCATCCATCCACAAGCTATTCGAAATATTTATCTATAATAAGAGTGCGATTGTGGCTCTGGTGGCATTGTCTTCTGTGGAGCTTTGTCTCTGTTCACGCAACCCGTGTGGCGTCGGCTGTTGCATGTCGATGGAAATTATTCATAGTTATTCATTGTGCGGCATCCCAGCGATTCCGAGTCTGGAAATTGCGAGGTATTTCTTTCAAAACGAACTCCCATCTGCCATCTTTTGCACGGGATCCCAAGTTTAATGTCCGACTGTGTGGAGTGTGGAGTATGGAGTGGAGTCTCGTCGTTGAGGTTTTTTAATAGCCAAAACAGCTCCACTTGACTGCAGCTATTAGCCCCTATCCAACCCATCCAACCCATCCGACCCATCCGATCATCCGAATGGGGCTATCAATCATATGGATCACCATCAGCAGTGGCAGCGGCAGCAGCGGCAGCAGCAGCACCAGCTCTTGGCCAAGTAGTGCTCTTGGGCGGTGGCTCCATCTAGCCCATTCTGTACCTTTTTGGGGGCCATATCCAATGACTCTCTCGGGAGTACAATGAGCCCTTTCTAAGCAGCAGATCTCAAAGAAAAACCAACATCCATTCCATCGTCATTGTTGATATAACAACAATTATGCTAATCAGTCTTTGAGGGCGCGTCGTCGAGGTCTCTCTGCCTACCTTTGCCTCAGCCTCTGCCTCTGCCACTGCCTTTCTCCTTGCGGATTTCAATGAACTTCAGCGACGAAACAATGACGAAATCAAGATTAGCAAATGGTTTTCAAGGTGTACAATGTACATACATACATATGTATATACTCATACGTACGAGCGTTATCTGCTGAAAGCTCTGGCAGCCAGAGTTCTGTGCCTCAAGCCTAAAACTATGCCACATTCGGTGGGGCATAGACCTCTTCAACGAGCGACCACTCGTACGCCTCATGTGTCGCACGTTCTTGTCTTTTGATAAGACAAAAGTGAAGTTTTTTTTGTTTTGTTACTTGACCCATGTGTTTGAATATTTAAATGGATTTTTTTTAATTAAAAGACCACAGACACGAATCCCCTCGAGATCCGAATCTCCTTGGCACTTGGAACTCAACAGCAATCCGATAGATAGGATAGAGCCCCCACGGGGTAGACTTTTTCCATAAATACTGCGCACAGAACCAGAGGAAAGTCAAATAGTTTTCGTTTAGACGACAATCTGCAACATGAAGGCTTTCTTTGCTCTGGTGATCCTGGCCTGTGCCGCCGCTCCCGCCCTGTCCGGACGCACTCTGGACCGCTGCTCCCTGGCCAGGGAGATGTCCAACCTGGGCGTGCCCCGTGACCAGCTGGACAAGTGGACCTGCATTGCCCAGCACGAGAGCGACTACCGCACCTGGGTGGTGGGACCCGCCAATTCCGACGGCTCCAACGACTACGGAATCTTCCAGATCAACGATCTGTACTGGTGCCAGGCCGACGGACGCTTCTCCTACAACGAGTGCGGCCTGAGCTGCAATGCCCTGCTGACCGACGACATCACCAACTCCGTGCGTTGCGCCCAGAAGGTCCTCTCCCAGCAGGGATGGGGCGCCTGGGCCGTCTGGCACTACTGCAGCGGATGGCTGCCGTCCATCGATGAGTGCTTCTAAGCAAAGTGGCAGACCTCGTTGAAACGCTTTGAAATAAAGGAAAATAACTTGAACACTTGAAGAGTGGAGAGTGGAGAGTGAATCCATTAGCCGGAGGCTGGAGGCTGGGGATCTTGCTTATCGATTCCTGTTTTTGGAGCATACTCGGTGTCTCGTACATCGTTTCGTGGTTTCAATTTGTGTCTTGGAAATTGATTTATGCAGATTTTCCATCGGATCTTTCAACACTTTTTGAGCGGCTGCTGCACCGCCAGCGTCAGCGCTGGTGGGTTTCTCTCTTCAGTCGTCCACTGACATTGATCGAAGTGTTTTTGCTGCTGTTGCTGCTGTTGCTGCTGTGGGAACGAACAGCCAAATAGCCAGTCAGCCAGCCAGCCACTCAATAATCAAGACTCAAGCCTTGGGGCTGCCTCAGTGTCTGCGTCAGCCGTGTGTGTTCAGGGGCACAGGCACACCTGATGAAAGAATCCAATTGGTGGCACCTCCACTCCACTCCATCGAACGATCGATCGACTGAATGAATGAATGCCAATGCATCGATGGTACGTGACTGATTGATGGCTGATTGATGCACGTCATAATTCCCCGGCAATCGAATAGCAACAGACAATGCCAGTACGGGTATCAGTGGCATTTGCATTTGCATTTGCATTTGCATAGCCACTCATTGGCTTGGCTTAACGGTGCCACATATTGTGGCAGCACAAATCACAACACAGCACAGCCACCCAGCAACGGTAACGGTATCTCCCAATGTCTCTCTTTTATGGGGATGGGGATGGGGATGGGGCGAGTGAAAGTGTGTGTCTTTCTTTTGGGCCTAAAATTAAATAACGAATCAACGAATGTCACAAATCAGAAATCATTCGATCGTTCGTTCGATCAGTGGATGGCTAGGAAACGGGCCTACAGCCCACATGCCACAACATACTCCTCCAGCGGGTATATCCAAGACACCTGTAAACCAGACTCCAATCTGCAGCGACTGCAACCTGTGGCAACCTGCGGCAACCCGTGGCAACCTGCCACAGAGACTAGATAACTCTTTTGCTTTAAATAGTCGTAGAAATATGTTCAATAAACTTAACGGCTTGTTTTTCCGGTGCGTTACGTGTTCCCAAAACCTATCCGCCCCATCCTCTATCCTCTATGCAATCCCCCCAACTGGCTCTGGGGATTATTTATAGTCCAATGTGAATGCAAATTCAAGTTCTTTGATGTGAGGCACGTACGAGTACATTAATTGACTCCACCCGATGGCTTTTCCGTTTATTGCAGTGACAGCTCAACGCTGCAGCGACACCGGCACCAACACCACCAGCAGCACCAGCAGCACCAGCAGCACAGGGGACACCTCGGGGGACACTCGTTCCAGATGGCTCCCAGTGTCTGCCACGACACTGCCTCGAAGATGGCACCGCCGCCACCCCCTGCGGCCGCTTCGAAGGCAGCTGCTGGCGGCAGCTCCAGCACCGCCTCGGGGACACAGAAATGCGGTGGCAGTAGCCTCAATGGATCTTTGGCCTCCTACAAGATGGCTGGCTCCGAACAAAGCTGGCCCCAGGCGCCAGTCTACAGCAAAGTGAGTGCTGCCCCTCCCCTGCACAAAACATACTTAAGATCTGTCTCTCTAATTCTCTAATGAAAGGAAAATCAACGACCACCGGTGTACAATCCCGAGGATTATGTGCTCTCGCTGCGAAAGTTCACCAAAGGAAGCAGTGCCTCGAAAATGAAGTCCATTTACGACGTCTGCACCACGTCCAGTGCCAAGGAGGAGACGTACAGATCCTCCACACTGCCAGCAAAGCATTCGGAATACAAGTAGGGATATACTCCTTCTCCATGCAGATAAGATCTCCTACTATTTCCTTGCGATTCCTTACAGATCTCCCATTCCTGCACCGCCGGAGAGCGACAGCGAGATGTCGCTCCGACAGTTTGGCTCCATCACGGATCTGCTGACCAAACTGAGGGCTGATCTAAGGGTATCCTTTCCCAGGTGAGGTGCTCTTCCCTCTACCACTTGCCTCATCCTCTAAGGCTCTTCTTCTTGCTTGCAGCTTCGTTCAAGAGTTCGTGGCCACGCCATCGGATGGGATTAGCCATCTCCTGGAGGTCCTGCGTGCCATCCAAATGGCGCAGGCGAGCAATGCCCCGGCCCCAGTGCAAGGAGCCAGCAATTCTCTGGCCATGTCCCGCAATCCGCAGAGCTACCAGCGCCGGGCACTGCTCGATGAGCTCTCCTGCCTGTAAGTCCCATCTCTCCCATGCAATCGGTAGTCCGTAATCCTTAATCGCTCTCCATTTACAGCCAATGCCTGAGCATCTGCTGCTCTCGATCGCTGGATGCCATAGCCCGTTTAGGGAACACGCCTGTGGGCCTCATGCCGCTTGCTTCCTCGGCCACGGGGCAGGGCATTCGTGCGCGGATCCTCGCGTTGCAGCTGCTGGCCTCCGCCTGCGACCGCCAGCCCTTTGGCAGTGGGAGTGGCAGCCAGAAGATCGCCTCCGCGGGACACACAGCCGTCTCGGAGGCCATGTCCACGCTTCGATTGCGTTGCAGTGAACCCGTGCGCTTCCGCCTGCTGGTGGGGATCCTCAACAGCGGCGGGGGATCCGGGGAGCTCCAGTGTGCAGGTGTCAAGTGAGTAAAGCCATCAAATACCTGAAGATGAAGGTCCGCAAGTGTCCCTAATCCCCCCTCTCGGCAGATTCCTGAACACATTCATCGAGAGTGCGGTGAGCATTCAGCAGCGTCTCTACATCCAGGCGGAGCTCTTCCAGGCGGGTCTCGATCCCAGCACTCTGGCGCGGACCATCTCCTCCTCCTCGCCCTGGCTGGACAGCCTGCGGGCGGAGGTGAAGCGCTTCAACGAGCTCCACATCGACGTCGACAAGATGATGGCCCAGGCCCGCGATGCGGATCGCACCCGCAGCCAAATGGTGATCCTCGAGCGTCGCGTGCAGATCCTACACGAGGAGAAGGCCGTTCTCACGTCCATGGAGCGGCGTCTACAGGAGCGATGCGCAGAGCTCCAGAGGGAGATCTTCCGCCTGCAAGGGGCGCAGCAGGAGTCCAACTTCAAGCCGGTGGAGTCGCACCAGCCGGTGGCACTGCCACGACAGGTGCCGCCCCCGGGAAAGACCACGAAGCAGAGCTGTTCGGAGCACGAGGACGAGGGCATCAGTAGCTCCGAGACGGGGGCATCTCTCAGTCCAGTGCCCATCCTGGTGCTGCCCTCGAAGGCAGCGAAGAATCAGCATCACAAACCGCTGAAGATCCCCGTGGACGAGGACGAGGACGATGCGGCCACCATTGAGGACGTCATCGAGGAGCTGGACAACATCGTCAGCGAGGCGGAGAAGCAGATCGGCAGCAGCCATCCGTCACGGCATCGTCCTCCCGTGGAACAGGACATTGTCCCGGTGAACATTGTGCCGCAGCCTCCGAGGAAATCCCGCTCCCTGGCGCATCTCGTGCCCCGCACCGACTGCTCCGAGCAGGAAGGTGGCTCCGACTACGGGATGCTGTTGCATCATCCGGGAGATCCAGCGGCTGCCGAACGACTGGCCGCCATGCAGACCTTCTTCGATGAGGCCGACTACGATGCCCCCGAGACGGATCATCCGTCGAGCTACGCCATGGACTCCCCATCCCCCGATATGCCGGAGGCCAATGCCGCCGCCACGGCCTACAATGCCAGCACCAATCGGGAGCTCCTCGACGTCATTATGAATGCACGGCACGACGAGCACGACCCCACGATGCAGGCCCTGCGAAAGAGCGCCCAGGATGGACCCCAGCTGCAGGTACAGGTCCAGGTGGTGCCCCACAAGATGAAGCCACCAGCACCGGCCCCGCCTGCCCCACCGGCCCAGCAGTTCAACGGCGTCTTCTTCATGACGGGAATGAACACGCCGCAGCGGTACCCGAAGCCCGACATCACGGCCGCCCTGCAGGCCCGTCGCGTCACCAAGAATGTGGAGCGCCTGGAGGCGGCCTTTGCCTCCTCCTCCAGCGGCGGCGCCCACGAGGCTCTCAACGAGGCGGCCATCATCGGCAGGGAGAAGTCGCGCAGCAACCAGCAGATCTACTTCAGCAGCAATCCGGCCATGAGGATGCACCAGGAGCCACCGGTGGGAGTGACGATGCCCGGACAGAGTCCCGCGTCGCGCACGCGCTCCTACACCCAGGGATCGATGTCCAAGGTGACGGATCTTCCATGTGGCCTCTACTGATTCTCCCTAAGATCCCCTCTCGAATGAATCTCGATCCTATTTTCTCCATGATTCCTGCTCCTGTGCAATAGCAAGCCACACTCTTAGGTTACGACAGAAACACCCTTCAGATCGGATCAGAACAGAACAGAACGGATCGTATTTATAGAACTATTCATACAAACGTATATCTATCGTACACATACACATATATTTAACTATATATACATATATATATATTTTTTTTTTATCGCATACATACATATCTCATGATCAATTGTAGTTACGGTGGCAGCTTCAACAGCGGGTTCATAGCCAATAAGTAGCGTAGGTATTTTTTTTTCTGTTGTGAAACGCAGCGTACTTTTACTTCTTTTATGTTTCTTTTGCTACAAATAAAATATATATATATATACATACATACATACTCGTACTCGTACTCGTACTCGTACCGATATCGATACGTTATCTTTGGAAGGAAGCACTGTCTGTGGGGTTATCTTTCAGATACAGATAGTATTTTATGAAGGGTTTATGGTGATAAGAAATTAAAGAGCCTAAAAACCTTCGGGTACGCCTGGAAATATGGATTAATTGGAACTTTTCAGTTCTCCTTTTCTGGATTGAAATGCTGCTGTAGATATTGAATTTTTTCCCATTTCAGGAACGCAAAAGTTGCGGAAAACTCAAGATGTATACCTGTAAAATGGTATATATTCAGGGAAGAGTAATGTGCATGCAAAAATAACTTGTTCCTCATCTGAGGACAGGCTAAAGCTGAAGCTATATGAAATTCTATCC